TATGTATACCTAATAATAATTTATCTTCGTAATGAGTTTTGTCATATATTAGCTCATACATATCGTATAGATTTGATGCAATACTTTTTGAAATGGGAATCGTCAGCGTATGTGGTCCATTTGAGGAAAACTCGCTGAGCAACGGTAAAACTATCGCCAACCGGTTCCGATGGGTATACTTTAATGCTGATACTGAATGGGTTTTCGATCTCCTGACTAACGGTACGTTTAAATGCTTCCTCATTAAATTTTTGATTAAGCTCTAGACTTTTTTGCAACATTTGTAGAAATAGCGCCCAACGTGGCCGATAGTAATCAATCACAACACCGGACCACTGTTTCGTTGCATAATCTAAAATTTGGCCGTTAGGCCCCCATGCAGTTATTTGATTCCGTGCATTCATTTCGTAAAGCTGTTTCTCCACCGGCGTTCGTCCCAAATTCTTYGCTGCTTCTAACCATCGACTTAATGAGAAGTCCATATTAGTGGCTAATGTTGTTTCGAGATCTTGTAGAGCCTCTAGCATTTTATCTGCTATAAAAACGTACTTCTCCATATTCTTACTTGTGTAGGCAACCATTAAATTTATATAGAGTTGATCGAAGGTTATTTGTAAAAATTGTCTAGTAATGTCAACAAGGTCATGGGAGACAAACGGAAGATTGTATAGGGGAATGGTAGTATTTCCTATAACCGAAATCATTTGAGCCCAAGCAATATAAACATTCGAAGTGTTATACCAAACCCATGGACTGAGATTTGTGGAGGGTCTTCTTGCAATAGAATATTTTCCTCGAATTTTTAATAATCCTTTGTAAGAATAGACAGATTGACGGAGTAACTGCCAAGCACTACGCATACGGGTTTCCCGAATGCCGTAACGAACATCAGCATAAACATCAAACCAATTATTTAAATCAAAGTCATCTTTCATCCAACCGCGTTCCAAAGCCAACTCGTACATGGCATAGTTTTGATTGATACCTTCCGCTGTAATACCGACACCTACCATCGACGTGGTTACCACATCTCTTGCTAAACGTATTTGCGTATTCACAATATCAACAGATCCATGCATTCCGAGGGTTCCACCGAAATTGTGCAACATACACCAAATAAAWGGTTGACCATGGAACGAGTGTGTACGTTCATATTGAGGAAATTGTTCACTTTGTAGGTCTAATACTAGCATTTTGCCAAGCGGCACTGCCAACAGAAAAGCTTTGATCAATTCATCTGTCCAAAAAATATTCTTTACAAACATCCATCCTTGTAAGAGCCAAACCGCCGAGTTGTCCACTAAACGCATGGACTCGTGAATATGAAATGCCGTGGCATTCATATATTCAGCATTTGCGAACCTTGGCTGAATTTCATTGAATGGATCGCAAAAGTATATAYTATCACTGCCGTAAGYTTCAATGGTCTTGTTAAGAAATTTGACTGCAATTTGATTAAATAGCGGGTCGCTAGGATCGAGGAAAAGGCCACAGCAGTATTTATCTGGAAAGTGGTTCCAACGTTCTACAGGTGTAAAGGTGTTGTTCGGAAAAATTCGAGTCATGGCGACAGGTACATGTCCCGCAAAGGCCGACAAAGCTACACGCATACCAAGATCACGTTCTGCTTTCAAAATTCGCTGTTGCAGTATTTTTTGCATACGTCTATATGAATRTGGTATCGGTCCGCCCCAGCCACGAATGTTTCCCATGCGCTGCCTGTAATTAATATAAGAGTTGATATGTGAAAAATTAGGAAAGAAACATATTGTATGATTTATTTTATTTTTGTTCATCTTTTCTCTAAAGATTTCAGGACACTATTGATAGATTTATCAGCCAAACAGATCAATGTTAATCGGATATACCCTATTAGGGGTTTCAACTAAACTGGATTTTAGTTGTAATTTTTAAATTCGATATTAACGATAGCTATATGAAGCTTTATTATTATTTGTTGGATAGTTATTCCAAACTTATTAACTTTAAACAATATAGCTTTCGGAGTTTTTTTGAAACGTCTTAGAAAGTTTATAGGATATGCATGTTTAGCCTGTCTGTAAATTTGTTATGGGTACCCTCTATATAAAATACTAATAGGTTCAATAATAAAAATCGCATGCGATACTGCGAATTCGGAATCCAAAAGAAGGTCTTGTGAATACCATACTTACCACGCTTGAAATGCTGCGCCTGCAAAATGATCATCTATTTCATCTTTCGTCAGGCCCATTTCAACATAGATTTCGTGCCAAATGTGCTCTTGAATAGGTGCTAATGTTAAGGTAACACCCATCATTGCCATCCAATCGATGTGGCGGCGCCAATTGGAAAAAGTCCACCATGCAAAACTGTAGCTCCATGTACAAACATTTTGGTAATAAATGAAGTTGCTGGCAGATTTAGAGAAAATCGTGGCATTTGGAAGCTGAGTTGGCAATTGCAACTCAACTTTAGTGTTTGTCCAGTCAATATGCTTATGCAAGTAATACTTGAGGTAATGATGAAAACCTTTCGCCGCTGCAACCCCGTCTGACCCAACAATACTTAACGTGGATGCTTCTATCTTCTTAATCTTTGATGATTACAATAAGTAACATTTATTTGAAATACTTCTCTAAGTARGAATATACAACTTACTTGAAAACTTCTGGATGGCATTGTCTTATCAACATGTATAACGAAACTTTTTGAGGCATCTTCGCCAATTGTGCGTATAATTAAATCTCGAACGGCGGATTCTTGTGTTCCTGTAGGTGTTTCAACATCACTTAGATCAATGACAGCAGATCTTGAGCATTCTGAAAAATATGTTGCATGAAGTTGAGTTACTCAATTATAAAAATAGCTTTTTTAGATCTAAAATCTATATATATGAAATAAATCCCTTTTTCCCTTGGTCACGGTATCACGAGTGAATGGCTGGACCGATTTCACTAATTCTCTTTTTTGTTGTATTTGTTGTTATTAGGAGAAGTTTCTTCCATATGTAAAAAAAATTTACGAAAGTTGCGTCTATAATATAAAAATGAATCGCAAAATGTGTTGTTAAGCGCATAACTCAACAACGCCTGGACCAATTTGGCCAATTCTKTTTTTTTGAATAACTGCCGGAAAATCCCAAAAAACAGCCCTTTTTCCATACAAACTTTTTCTTTTGTATATACATACATATGTAAGTAAACATGAATATATGTTTATTAGTAACGCTAAGGCTCGAGAACGGCTGAACCAATCTTCATGAAATTTTCAGAAGTTGTTCGCTGTGAATCTGCAAAGGTTTACAAATATAAAAACCTTATACTTTTCATWMGACAAAGTCGAAAAATTGGAAATTTCCAAAAAGTAACTTTTTTCCAAAAATTTTTTTTTTGTTTTTCAATATTTTGATTATTTGAAAATTTTTCAGTGAAAACTTTGTGTGATTCAGACGAAGTGATCAATTACAGATTGAAATTTGTTACGAAGCCACGAAGAGATCGCGCTAATATCGGCCACCAACGTATGGCACACCATACGAATAGGATGCGATGACATGCGTGTGGAATTGTGGATCGCGGTCAATCAGCAAGCGATCGTTACGATGTCATAGCACGACTTTTCAAAAAACAGCTACGATATTTGATGGACTTTATCTTGAAGCAACGTATGTATATATGGTGCAGTCAGATGCTGGATTTAGTGTGTTAAGTCATTAGGTTTACATTCTTCTTTGGATGGTAGATGATGGTTACACYAGATCAAATTGATGAAATCACACCACAATCTCACTTCGGTTTGTATGTCTAACAATAAATGCACGAAACACTATCCAAGTTCTTTTCTTTCGGAAGCCCCAAATTGAAAATGATGGATATCCACTCTATCGTCTTAGCTCATCAGACGTCAATGGCAGAACATTCAGCATTAGAGTGAATATCGAAGTCGACAACACATACCATATTCGCCGCTGTTGTCTAATTCCCATTCAAAACTCATGCCAATGTTGAATATTGCAGTTTGGTGAAGTCGATCAAATGCATTTGCAAATACGTCAYCAAAGAAAGCAACATGGCGGTTATTGGTCTTGAACGAGATGAGATCAGCAAGTATCAAATAGTCGATACGTGAACTGCAATAAATAATAAATACCCTACGTATTTACTTTTGCAACCCAGAGAATACAGTACAGCCAGCGGAAACACTTTCAACAACAAAATTGACATTAACGAGTTTTTTCTCAACTTGCGTCAGTGATTCGTTTGCGAGAACATTGCTCTATTCGGATATGCCTTGATATTAGACATGGAATGCATCGTCGAAGAAATAGTTAGACAGAAAGCAAGGCCAACCAGTAGATTGATATCGGGTGATATCCACCCGAAAAACGACGATTRCTTATACCTTCGGTTGCTTTTGATAAATGTACGTGGTTCARTTTCACTTGAGTCATTGCGTGTACTGTGAATGAGTATGTGCAACTTTTTGAGAAGCATGCCAGCAATTATAATTGCTGGAACATGATAATCAATGGAATCAAGCGATGGACTATTCGACAGCCACTTCGCATGCCACTGAAGTACCGCACACTTTTCGCGATAACCATTTCAACATATCAGTCTTCAAATTCGCGTCAATTATGGAATACGAACAAAAATACATTRCCGAAGACATTTTACATTGTATTCGAWAAGAATTGGAAATATGCAAATATTGATTCCAGTGGTTTGATATCAGTTCYAACTGCCTTTTGTCAATTCACTGCAACGAAATATGAACTTATCACGAATGTTTATGCCAATATTSGCTAAATTATCGTAAATACAATTGCATGAGTGCCCACCAGTTATACTTGGCGTGTTCCCGTGTTGGAAAACCACCTTCTCTGTCTGTTACGCACCGGAATAGAAACCATAAAATGTTGCATATCAAACTGCGTTACACTGAAAAAAAATTAGAAAAATCGTAAATAAATGATTTTTAACACAACGCAAATTCAACTTTCTTTTCATTTCAAAACACATAATTACACGCAGTACAACGCATGCGGAGTCAGTTAGTATTTCATATATTTTACCGTTATGTACATATTGTCATCCCATACAATGGTTTATATTTAAAGTGCGATAACTGCCTCATCAGAAAGGCACAAAACATTAATTTCATAATAAGAATTTTTCGTCTGCACTTSTTAAAGAATTTGATAATGCAATATAAACTGCTTGACTGGTTTGCACAAACTTTTTATGTTACTTGCTTTTAAAAAATAAATAAAGYATAAAAGAAGATATAACACAAAACTTCACATAAATATCTGATTCTAAAAGCCTTATCTTAACCAATACTTGTATCATAATTTTCGGCATTTAAAATAACTTTACACTTTATATTATATTGTATATCGGTGAATATCTTAATAATATGTTTTATTGAATATAAATAGTACGAATTTGGTACAAAAATGGTGATGAAATGGATCGACCAGATCAAAGTCACGATTTATTCGAGATGATCTCCGCATGAAAGCCTACCGCCGTCCAACTGCTCTTATTCTGACAACGTGCTTGAGGCAAATTAGGCTCAACAGATGCAAGCACCTTCTTCAGAGTCAACGGTCATGAAAATATCCTTTTCRCAGAAGAATTGAAGCTTCGGTCAAGTGTACCAGCAGGATGGTTTAAAAATCRATTTTTCTGTTTTTCTCTAGCACCACCTGCTGCGTCCTCGGCACAAATTTCTCGTACTCGTAAATGCATGTCATTTTATTAGATGATTTCAATATTGATTTAAAGAAATAGGAGTCGGCTCCACTTACTGATTATTTGAGAGAAATATTTAACATTGAAACGAAAAATTATAGAAATTTACCAACTACAAGAGTAATATTAGTATTGGTGTAGTATTCACTAGAAACACTGAAAATGTGGAATTGTTTATTTTTTGGTTGAAATGAAATACATATTAGTTATATACACAAATTAATTGACTCAAGGCTTTAAATATCGCGGACTCTATACGATTTTGGACCCAAAGTACTAAGAAATTTTTTTTAACTTTCACATCCATTTTGAGGTAATAGATATTTTCATTACCTACAACATTGTTAGTTTAAGTTTTTTTATAGGACTCCTAGTTTTACCGGAAATTGTGATTAACTGTGCTTAAGCCTTAAAAGTTCAACCACATGTATCCCCTTTCCTTTCTCGATTTCAGAACGCCCGTAAATTATTATTCCCTTAAAACTGGTTATTTTATCCTTCGTTTCCGGTGAGTATCATCCTATTTTGAATWTTTTTTATTTGACTGTCGATTGGCCTCAGATGTAGAACGATCCATTATCACAAAGCGGCGCAGAAACTTTTTMCGCATTTTCGCGATCTGGGTCTAACATTTATGCTGGTATAGTTACGACGAATTTCGGTAAATCAGTCCTTGATCGTTGAAAATGTGCGGGTCAAAAACACTTATCCACTTGCTATACATTAACAGTTTTTGTTTCAATCAGTAAACAATGTTTGGCGTTTTAACAAATACGTATAACAGAGGTAGGTCGTTTGAGGTCAATAACATGAGAACGGTTGACATGATCGAAGTAAAAAAAATTTTGGGTGTATTTTTGGTAAAGTTAGTCCTCTTAGACAAGGTTAGAGGTTTTTTGTCGAAAATTTTTCAGCCCATGAGTGTAGGCTAGAGCGGGTCGATGTTTTCCATAAAATCSCGATAAATAAATGTGGATAATCCGTTGTATGGGTGATATGTGATAAAGTCATAATTCCTAAAAAACTCTAATTAAAAATCACTGGCTTTAGGCAAAGTTGCTCAGAATGATTTTTAGAACATTTCCCGCATACACCCTAGAGTAAGCAGCCCACAATCATCTCRTCTCTATTTTAAAACCAACAGCTAAAATACGTATGAAAACCACTCAGCGCAACAAAAGCTATTTTCGGAAAAAATTTTTATTTGAGATAACTATAAAAACASCGAACTAACTAGGATATAGCTTAGCGAGAAGTATCTGGTCCTGTCAATTGCAGACAATCAAAATGTTTATAAACTGCATTTATTCTTTAAGTTTAATAATAATTTGTAATTTTTTCTTTTGAACATTTTGCAATTAGTAATTCTTTATTATCGTTTTGTACAACGGTTTATATGTATACAAGTACATATATTCGCTTTGTTTATAATGCAACTTATATGTTTGCTTTCTTAATGTTATTTTTTATTTATTTAATTCAATATTTAAGTTTATGCTCCTCATTATATACGTATGCATATATATGTATATATATACTTTAAACACAATTATTATGATTTACTTACTGCAAAAGAAGAGAAGTGCAATTGTTGTAATAAGAATTATGATCAACCTCATCGTTCAGAATTAAAATAACAACTGAAGGTGCGCGAGAAGAGTATATGGATCTGACACGAGTATATAAAATTCAATGAGCATATGTTTATTGTATTCAATTTTAATCATTTATATATGTATGTATGTATTTTCCTCACATATATAATATAATTTACAGTATTCACGTACAAGGTCGCATTTAAGCGGGGAGATATAAATCTCCAAAAAAAAAAAAACAAAAACAAGTGGGATGTAAGATAGAAAAATAAATATTCCTTTTCAAAATATGTATAAGGACAATTCCGGCATCACTCTTCTTAATTAAAACCATCTGCTTTTCGGTGACCTAATTTTTCGGTCATCTTTTTAAAATAATTAGAAAAAGACGTAAGCTATTGAAGAAGATAGTATGGATCCATCCCTTCATAGAACKCGAACTCGGAGTTTGGTTTTCTGCCTTTATAGTCCAGTAATTATAGTAAGTTCACTTCGGAATTCGAGATACCCAGCTGTAAGTCTGTAAATATTGTATATTGTAGATATACCCTACCATATGTRGGTTTTGAGACAACTTTTAGGGTGTCAATATTTACAGACTTAAAGCTGGGTATCTCGAATTTCGAGATTCTTATCTAATTTWAGCTTAAATGACTGGACTATTAAAAAAATGGATTGGAGGATAAATTAGTTCAAATAACTTGCATAAAATATAAGCAGATTTCTKTAGATAATCCGAAGAATGAGTTTTCAATAAAAAATTAGTATAATKTAACAGTCGTTAGATTGCCTCTAATGATAACCGGGGTATATTTGTCGATGTCCTCGCAGAATCAGTTCAAGAAGTGGTCTTGATAGGAGCAGAACTTGATGTACTCGTATAGTGAGTGAAGTTATTGAGTAAAGTGTTAAAGTGTGAAGTAAAGTAATATGGAGACTTCTACAAGAAAATCCTCTACGAACGGAATCCCCGACATATGTACATATGTATTTATATAAATGAGCAGTATGACGAGAAAAATTGAAATTCGGTTGACTGTTTGTCTGTCCCTGCAATCTTCATTTTGATTAAAAAATGAAATATTATGACGATTTGATTACGAGTGGGGCGAGATGGGCGTAATCGGACCACTGCCACGCCCACAGATCGCCATTAACCGAAAACACATAAACATAACCAAACACTCAATTAAGATATAAAATTCTTATTTGGTACAGAGAATCACAGTAGTAAGAGCGAACGTRGGCAGAATTTTTTGAAAAAGTGGGCGTAGATACCTTTCATATTATCACCAATCATTACTACTTAGATTGATCAGTAAACACTTTCACATGCTCAAAAATCGTTGTTTTAGTTATTTTGKAGCTTTGGGAGGTATTGATACGACTCAATTCATTTTTGACACATAAAGGCACCATTGTCAGGAAAGGATGGTGTYTCACAAATGTACTTATATTTTTGGTCAAAAGTCAAATATAAATATGGTCAAAAGCCAACTATAAATAAGAATAGAGAATGTTAGGTACCGAATTTGGTTGAAATCGGTCGAACAAGTCTTGAGATATGTGATTTTACTAAAAAGAGGGCGGTGTCACGTCCATTATCCAATTTTTTCACCGGTTCGTATAAACCCCTATAATACCATCTTGATTAATTACGATTTTAGTAGTTTTTAACAGTACTGTTATATGAGGGGTGAGGGGGGTTATTATCCAATTTATGATAATGATATGTATATTAAACCTATTAGAGGTCGGGACACGCTTACTTTTTCAAAATTTTCCGCCCACAAGTGTCCCTTACTACTGCATCCTCTGCGCCAAATTACTGTTCTATATCTTAATTTAATGCTTATTTTTGCCACTTTATATGTTTTCCCTTAATGTCGTTTTGTGGGTGTGGCAGTGGTCCGATGTGTACTAAGTTTTATTAAAATATCTTACCTTTTACTTAAGTTCTAGCTTGCATGGACGGACGGACAGACAGACAGTCACCCAGATTTTAACTCGTCTCGTCATCCTAATCAATTATATATATGTACATACATACACTATATAACCCTACATCTAGCTAGACTAGTTTTAGGTGATACGTACAACCGTTAGGTGGACAAATTATACTCTGTAGCAACATGTAGTAAAGTTGTGGTGTCAACAAAAAGAAAGATATCGTAGCTTTATATAAAATAAACAATCCAAAGGTCAAATAGCTCTTGAAATAAGCATAAGGGATTGAAAGGTGCGTATTATAATTAAAAATTATACATATTTTAATTGATTAGCTCGAAAAAAATGCAGTGGACGTCAGAAAACAGTAAGACCTCGTCAAGAACGACAAATTAAACGRATGTGCATTATGATCGCTTTCAACATGCTGGAACAATCAATGCAGCATTTTACGAAACTACTGGGGTAAGAATAACTACAAGTTCTAYGCAAAATGTGTGGAATAATCTTGGATTCCGAGCGCCGAGTCCATCCAAAAAGCCACTTCTCATTACACGAATGAAGAAAGAGCGACTAAAGTGGACAACATTAGYGTCCAAAAAGTCTAAAAGAAATAGAAAACATTATTGAAGCTGTGTGGAATGAAGAAATTAATAAATTATCTTCAACGCATTTTTGAATCCATACCTAAACAAATATCCGAGGTTATTAGGAGGAGGGAGTGTTCCACAAATTACTAAGAATTCTTTATACAAAATATGTTATTTTGATTCGTTATGTATTTTAATGCTAAACAAAAATCATATAAAACATGAAATATGTAAATAACTTGTTCAAAAATTACGGTATTGTTCATAACAAAATTTACTTCTGTGGCTTGTTATGTGTGTGTTTTTACATTTTTCACTACAAGTGTTAAACTATAAGTTTTTTATATAAAWATGCTTGAAACATAAACTAAATAAAAGTGGTTGATCCTCAAAGAAAAATGTTTAACTTAGAATAATATGAATCCAAGTTTTGCGCTATATAAAAGCACTCTTTAATGTGGATCCATGTACCTTGTATTTGGTACATGGGGGTCGATTGTGGATAAGTAGGAGTTTAACCTGCCTTAGTATGAACAACGAATCGGCGTAATGTTCGATGTTCTTCTCGTAGTCAAGGTAATCCCTCTTGATGTTGTTGTTGTCGGTTTCTGCGAAAAATTGCCTGCAGAAACTGCTTAGAGAGAACTTCTTTATGTTCCTAAACCGGAAGCATACTGCCCTCGCTGTATAAGTGTTCGACCGGAGTGCAGTGTTCTGACACGTGTGAAGCTTCATCTGCGTTTTACTGATCCAGGCGACCATATCGGAGCGGTGTAGTTTAAAACCTGACGGCCGATTGGCTTGTATGCTGCCAACAATGTGCCTTTGTCTTTTCCCCATGAGAAAGATCGAATAGACAGCCATTTACATGTGTTTTAAAGTAAGCGTTATACAACCGCGATCATTACCAAAGTACAGAACTGCAAAAAGATTGTCAAGTCGCTAGGCAGCASCACCTTTGGCAAGCACAAACAAAGGTTAATAGCCACTTAAAAGACAAGTTTATAATTTACGCAGCAACAATATAGTTGCCTAGATGTAGCAGCAAGCAGGTGAAGAAGATTTAAATATGCTAACGCCGCACTTCGGGCTATTATCGAATGTCTCTAGATGTCCCCTATTGCACACCTGCACAGTGAGGCCCATTTCCTGGACGGACCGTTAAGTTTATTAGATGACAGGTAATTTTGCTCTTTTTCTCAAAACGAAGTCTAGGTATTTGCTGCAGCATGAGAGAGAATATTTTTTATGCTACCCTTTATGCTAACGGCCATGGTAGTTTTCACACGCCAAACAATGGAAACATTAACATGCATTTGGTTCATCGGTTTTGTATTTTATGAGTTGTATACATCATTAAAAATAAATACAAAATTGTTCATTTTAAATTACAATTTTTATTATTTTTTCCTTAAATACATTCAATGATATTCATATACATACATTGTTTTTGCAAATGTATTTCATTCGGCAATAAAAATACATCCGTAACAAATTTATTATAAATTTTAATGTATGAGTACTTTGGCATTTTTGCTACTACAGCTAATAAAACACAGCTTTTAAATATATATATATATATATGCACTATTTGTTATAAATGAAAACAATATGGAAAAAATAACAATTTAAGTACAAATTTTTCAAAAGACTTTGAAAAATAAAAAAATATAACAAAATCTGGCTTAAGTACATAATTAAGATTTTAAAAACTATAAATAGATACATAAGATAAAAAATCAATTGAACAATTGCATCAATACGATATTAGTTTACTGTTGAAAAATTTTTTAAAACAAGTTACCGATTCAATTATTATGTATGTAGATTGATAAAAAATGTACATCCAGTACACCTTTATTTCTGTTCCGTATGTGGTAAATGCCGACACTCGGTGTCAGCATACATATGTATATGTATATTGAAAATCTCTAAACGAATTCCAAATCAACTTTAGGTCTCTTATAACTATATTGTTGTACTAAATGCTGGTACACTGTACTGCAATATGAAAATGTTAAGATTATATACATTGACATGTTCATGGATTATATATGTATGTATACGCACATAAAAGCAAGAAAGTTCCAAAGAGGGCAATTCACGCTGCATTTCGCCGGTTGAAAGAATAAATAAGAAACCATTAGTAACGCTGAATTGGGCTACATTACTTTTGTTGTTATTATAACTGCTCAAATATAATAACAAACGAATTTTTTAAACTAATGAACCTGACCGCAACACATTCAATAAGCTTTGATTTTTTTTTTATTTAAATAATAATTAATTTTTATATCGCTTAATTCCAATAATTTAGTTCATAAGTTTAGTATATTTATGGCACGAAAAGTTCCGTAAAAATACACCAAATTTCGAAATACAAGTGTAAAATTTTTAAATAAGGCGATCAATGAAGTTATTTATTTAATTGTACATACTTATTAGCACAACAAATCCAGAACGCACCTTTTTTAAATCACGACACGTGTCCTAGCAATATTAAAAGCGCTAT